CTTGTAATAAATAATAGACTAAACTACTCCAAAGATTGAACAAGACTAGTACATTGTTTTCTAAGAAATTGAGCCCCTATTTGAATTAGATGAAAATCATATCTTTAGTAGATTTTAATAAAAGTTAATGAAATATATAACGGTTGAAAAGTTCTAAATTCTATAAAATATGTTGTTAAAATTAATTGTTAACTTTAATTTAGATTTAATCATCTTATTTAACTAAATTAAATAGGCACGGATATGAAATATGGCACCCCAAGATTAGCTATAATAGGTGGAGATTTTTTGAGAATGTGTTTTGTGAAAAGTGATTTTTTATTTTTTATTTTTTTGGAGATGTATGGTGGAAAAGAAATGAAACGTTATGAGTCAACGTGCAAAATTATAATCAAGCAATAGAATAGTAACGTGATTGTGGAATCTTTCTCGCTTTGAGTTCGAGAATTATTACTTCTATTTCTTGATTAAATAATATTTGATCCTCATTTTTCAAATTTATTTTTCTCCATAAGTTTATTTCTATTTTACATTTTATAAGAAGCATAATTTTTTAATCAATTTTTCAATTATACATTTATCATCTATCAAGCTACACTAAAATATATGTTTAACAAAATCAAGCAAAAGGATAGTTTAATTTACTTGTAAAAGTTACTTTCGATGACAACATTTTAGATCATTGTTTATAGTAATACTTTTGACAACCCAATTTTTAATGTGATTGAGTGTGTCATACCTTACTTCATCGTTATCCTTATCTAATTATTTGATACTAAATTCTTATTTTTAACAAAATCAAAAGAGCAGTAGTTTAATTTTCTTGTAAAAGTTATTATATTATTTTTTACATTCAAATCACTTTTGGTGACCCTCATTGTTTATAGTAATACTTTTATGTATGACAGCAACTTATTGATGTACTTGTGCATGTGTGTCATGCCTTCACATTTTTCCTTATCTAATCAAACATCTCATTGAATCAATTATTGTGATGGTAGGTAGAACATTATTGAGATACTTCAAATTTCAACAATGAGGAAAAATTAATGCAACACATGCGTAGGGTTAGTACAGTTTAGGAATACAAGTTCAAAGGCATCCACGCTAAAATTGGTCACTTCATTCTAGTTAACCATCAAACTGAAGTGGAAATCTAACTTGAACCTCGAGTTCAATTAAAAATATTAAGGGTGACACTGAATACTTCTGTTATTATGAATAATGAAAAGGATAGAGCGATCTGGTGACTCGTTTGATAAAAGAAGGTTTTGTAATATGAATTTCAAAATCAATATCACATGAAAAGGGCAAGGAAAAGAGGAAGACGTAGTAATACCTTGAGTAAGATTGCATCTGCAGAAGGAATCGACTCAAACATGTCACCCCCAAGATAGCTCAGGTTCTTAGTCCCTTCCAAGCCGGCAACAACATGTGGGAGATCAAGCACAGTGCATTTCAAGTTTGGAAATGCATCAGCAATATTCTTGGACAAAGTTCCTGTTCCACCTCCCACATCTACAATTGAATTCAAACCTTCAAATACATGTTTACAATCTCTAATGAGCACGCTAGTCACCAACCGGGCATCACTAGCCATGGCTTCGTTGAAGAAGCTGTTCAACCTTGGCTCATGCCCAGCATACTCCCAGAACATCCTCCCATGTTTAGTATCAAATGCCGTAGGATTCTGATCACTTTCAAACCACTCACTCAGATGATGCCATGGCTCTGTCAAAATCGGATCAAGCATGGCCAGTAAAAATGGTGTCACGCTCAGTGGCTCGTCTTTTAAGAGGAGACGAGAAGCTGATGTAAGCCAATATCCCATATTTTCTTCGTTCTCGGAGATTTTGGCATCAATGAAGAACCTTGAATGGGTTAAAATTCGCATTAGGCAGGAGACACATTGAGATTTTGCTTTGTCGATGGGGAGGGCATCGACTAGTTCGGGCAGTGTCATTGGTTTGCCATGTTTATGGATAATATCTGGTATGCCTAGTTGAATCGCACACTTGAGAGACATGGAGTTTATGAAGTTGAAAATTTGGTTCCAAATGTGAGCTTGAGCATGCAGAAGCTCTGTAGATTGTTCTCCATTTTGCTTGAATTTCGTAGAAGTACTTGGGCATTGGCTTGCTATATATACCCGTTCTAATGCCCTCACGCCCACCCCCCACCCCCGCGGCCCTATGGTGGGTTTGGCCGCGAACGGTTCAACAGGAAACCGATGCTCATAATTATCTTCATAATTGAAAAGCAATGCAATTGTGCCGATCTAGAACGTGATCCACTTGAGATTCTTGTCGTGTTTGATCTTAATGTGGAGCCTCAACTGAACATGGGGTGTCCCTGTTTTGTATGTATTAAGATTTTGGATTTTCACTTTAATAGATCAATCTTATTAAAAAGAGAAATTTGATTGAACATTCCTCTCAGCATCGAAAAAAGAAATTAAGAAGCTGAAAAAAATGCACAAATACATCATTATATAAATTCTCGTAAAAGATAATTCGAACTAGAAATTCGAAAGATAATTTATTTAGATACATTTAATGACCTGAGAGATCTATAATATCTCACACACCAATTTTAATTGCTTCAAATTGAATTAACGTCCTGGGAGACAATTAATAAATATTATATTTGATATGTTTATAGCACACTTGAAGGGTGATGATATATGATTCTAATACAAAAATCTCCAAGCGAAAATGAAGTAATTAGTAAAGATGGTTCATTTATGAAGCATATACTTTTAGAAAATATATATATTTAACAAATTATAAAATCCTAAAAGAGGTTCAGGTAACTGATATGTTGAAAAATGAGATACTCAAAGAATTATGTCATTATGAAGAAAAAGACAGAATTAAAAAAAGAACATAAAAAGGTGTTCACAACACTTGCACATGATATATTGCATCATATATGAATAGCGATGAATCAAAATAAATTCGTCGATTTTTTTAGGATTTGAAGTGTTTTCAAAATCTTTCTTTTATAGTTAAAGCAAAATTTAACACTAATGTATAAATTTTGGTATTTGATCGATAAATCAATAATGTGAATTCAACAATTCAAAATAAAAATTTGAATTTTATCTAGCTTAAGATATTACGAATTAAATTACCAATTTAACATGTTAATTAACTTAAATATCAAAACTACTAAAATAACATGCACGGAATTGAACATAAAATAAAATTATTCCTGAAATAGAAATTGACAGTAATCATTTCTAAAACTTTTAGTTGGCGACCCCATAAGTATCACTCGGTCAATCTCCCACACGTTCACACAATCCGTTCTAATATGAAAATTTAGTAAGACTAAGTATTTTTCGAAAAACACCCAATAAGAAAAACGTGCATATTCTTATTAACATGATATACATATAAAATGATATGGCATACCAACATTTCTTGAATTTAAAGCAAACTAGCCGTGACATCCAATAGCTCAAGGAATTTCATAAGAAAGCAAAAGATTGGGTACCAAGCCCAAAAGCCATTATTAGTTTGACCCAAATAACTTTCAGAAGATCCGTGGAGTGCAAAACAGCCTATAGGGCAAAAGTATGTAGAATTTATCTCGATTAATCATTGATCAATAGTTAATTGAATCAAGATTATTTTATTGAAACTTAGTTTATAGGGTCCAAATCCCTTCGATGGCTTCAAAAAGGAATAAAAATAAACTATAAACGTTTTAATTTATTATTCATTGCAGTGAAATTAATTATTTGGACGGAGACGTGTTACGTGTAGCACATGGATCAATCACACGTGAAAAGAAGTTGACTTGGATTAGAACTAGAAGCAAGAGTCCTTTTATATCCATATTATAAATTGACACATATATTGAGGTTCAATTTTAATTTTGTTTGTGCCCACACATGCACGTGAACCAGAATAGTTATTGGTTCTCTAAGAACACCGAATCTTAAAGGTGGAATCAAGAAGAAAATGTAAAATAATCTTTTGCAAAGCATCTTTCAAGGATAATTCTGAAAACATCTATATGTTTATTATTCCAACAAAATTATGTTATTCTTGTAAATACACAAAGAATTAAATCCTATTTTTTCAACAATTAACTATTAGAGTATGTATGAGTTATGACATGATACATCAATCCTTGATAAATAAAAAATTTAATTCAAATAATATGACTCATCATAATCTTATTCACATATAAATTAATATTCTGATGTTAGCCAGTGTTTACTAGATTATTTCTTATATATTTCATTATTTGGTCTTAAAATGAACGATAGTTTGAATTCTTTTGTCAAATGAGTATACGTGTTATTCATTTGATTCACCATATTAAAAATTAGCACACCACCTACGCAAAGAGCGATCATATACAAAGTTATCACGAGTTTCAATATTATACGTTAAAATTAATTTGCTACATGCATGTGGAATCTGGCTATGTGTAAGTATGACATATTGATCTATATACTGTTAAAACTTAAAGTTCCATCTTAAAAGACCGATCTCATTAAGAGAAGTAATCAAATTCTTTATAAATTGGTCTATATTTTCATCTTTATTCGATGTGAGATTTTATCCCTTAACATCTTTATAAATTGGTCTATGTTTTCATCTTTATTCGATGTGAGATTTTATCCCTTAACATGCTCCCGCAAGATGGTAGCTCCTTTGAACAGACCAATCTCGGAATCTGTATGCTCATTTATTAAGTCTTAATCGGATCAAATCGCTCGTTGGAGATTAATAGGCTCTGATACCATATTAAGATTTCGGGTTCCATCTTTAAAGGTCGACCTTGTTAAGATGAGCAACTCAATTCTTTATAAATTTTTTTATATTTTCATCTTTATTCGATATGAAATTTTATCCTTTAACATAGACAAGAGTAATGCTTCTTGTGATGTTCATTTAATACTTATATTGCTAGTGGTTGTACCAGAGTTTACAAAATAAATAAGATCGGACCTAATGAATAAGAAAGAATCTTTATTCTCTATATTACCAAAGACGAAACATTTTGTGTAATTTATTACAAAAATAGAATGATAGCACAGATACAAAATATCGTTGTGGATGAATACAGAAATAGCACAAATTGAAGACGAAATTTTGCTCAGAAGCAGCTTTTATTCGACATAATGAGCTAATTAAGGATAAACCTCAATAACAGACCTCAATCCCAATATAGGGATTATTTTGTAGCGAGTAAAGCCAGCATCATAGAAGATTGTTGCGAATTCTTTCTCATTTCGTTCTCTCCCAGTAAGAAGGGCCATCATCAACATATCGAAGTGGAGTTGTGTTTCGATTGCCTTGTTGTCTTCTTTCTGGTTGTCTATGATCATGTCAATAATGATGATTTTTCCTTCTTTATCCGTGCTTTGAATAGCTTCTTTGCATGTTTTCAATATTTTTACACACTCTTCATCGCTCCAATCATGCAATATCCACTATTCAAATGTACCAGTACTATAAGCATTAGAATCTGAGTTCATGTAATAAATAATAGACAAAACGACTCCAAAGATTGAACAAGACTAGTACATTGTTTTCTAAGAAATTGAGCCCCTATTTGAATTAGATAAAAATCATATATTTAGTAGATTTTAATAAAAGTTAATGAAATATATAACGGTTGAAAAGTTGTAAATTCTATAAAATATGTTGTTAAAATTAATTGTTGACTTTAATTTAGATTTAATCATCTTATTTAACTAAATAAAATAGGGACTGGATATGAAATATGGCACCCCAAGATTAGCTATAATAGGTGGAGATTTTTTGAGAATGTGTTTTGCGAAAAGTGAATTTTCATTTTTTTTTTTTTTTTTTTTGGGAGATGTATGGTGAAAAAGAAATGAAATGTTATGAGTCAATGTGCAAAATTAGAATCAAGCAATAGAATAGTAACATGGTTGTGGAATCTTTCTCGAATCATTTACTTCTATTTCTTGATTAAATAATATTTGATCCTCATTTTTAAAATTTATTTTTCTCTATAAGTTTATTTCTATTTTACATTTTATAAGATCCATAATTTTTTTGTCAATTTATCAATTATACATTTATCATCTTCTATCAAGCTACACTAAAATATATGTTTAACAAAATCAAGCAGAAGAATAGTTTAATTTACTTGTAAAAGTTACTTTCGATGACCACATTTTAGGTCATTGTTTATAGTAATACTTCTGACAACCCAATTTTTAATGTGATTGTGAGTGTCATACCTTACTTCATCGTTATCCTTATGTAATTATTTGATACTAATTCTTATTTTTAACAAAATCAAAAGAGCAGTAGTTTAATTTTCTTGTAAAAATTATTTTATTATTTTTTACATTCAAATCACTTTTGATGACCCTGTTTTAGGTCATTGCTTATAGTAAAACTTTTATATATGACAGCAACTTATTGATGTACTTGTGCATGTGTGTCATGCCTTCACATTTTTCCTTATCTAATCAACATCTCATTGAATTAATTATTGAGATGGTAGGTAGAACATTATTGAGATGCTTCAAATTTCAACAATGATGAACAATTAATGCAACACATGCATAGTGTTAGTACGGTTTAGGATTACAAGTTCAAAGGCATCCATGCTAAAATTGGTCACTTCATTCATTCTAGTTAACCATCAAACTGAAGTGAAAATCTAAATTGAACCTCGAGTTCAATTAAAAATGTTAAGGGTGACCCTGAATACTTCTGTTATTATGAATAATGAAAATGATAGAGCGATCTAGTGACTCGTTTGATAAAAGAAGGTTTTGTAATATGAATTTCAAAATCAATATCACATGAAAAGGGCAAGGAAAAGAGGAAGACATTGTAATACCTTGAGTAAGATTGCATCTGCAGAAGGAATTGACTCAAACATGTCACCCCCAAGATAGCTCAGGTTCTTAGTCCCTTCCAAGCCGGCAACAACATGTGGGAGATCAAGCACAGTGCATTTCAAGTTTGGAAATGCATCAGCAATATTCTTGGACAAAGTTCCTGTTCCGCCTCCCACATCTACAATTGAATTCAAACCTTCAAATACATGTTTACAATCTCTAATGAGCACACTCGTCACCAACCGGGCATCACTAGCCATGGCTTCGTTGAAGAAGCTATTCAACCTTGGCTCACGCCCAGCATACTCCCAGAACATCCTCCCATGTTTAGTATCAAATGCCGTAGGATTCTGATCACTTTCAAACCACTCACTCAGATGATGCCATGGCTCTGTCAAAATCGGATCAAGCATGGCCAGTAAAAATGGTGTCACGCTCAGTGGCTCGTCTTTTAAGAGGAGACGAGAAGCTGATGTAAGCCAATATCCCATATTTTCTTCGTTCTCGAAGATTTTGGCATCAATGAAGAACCTTGAATGGGTTAAAATTCGCATTAGGCGGGAGACACATTGAGATTTTGCTTTGTCGATGGGGAGGGCATCGACTAGTTCGGGCAGTGTCATTGGTTTGCCATGTTTATGGATAATATCTGGTATGCCTAGTTGAATCGCACACTTGAGAGACATGGAGTTTATGAAGTTGAAAATTTGGTTCCAAATGTGAGCTTGAGCATGCAGAAGCTCTGTAGATTGTTCTCCATTTTGCTTGAATTTCGTAGAAGTACTTGGGCATTGGCTTGCTATATATACCCGTTCTAATGCCCTCACGCCCACCCCCCACCCCCGCGGCCCTATGGTGGGTTTGGCCGCGAACGGTTCAACAGGAAACCGATGCTCATAATTATCTTCATAATTGAAAAGCAATGCAATTGTGCCGATCTAGAACGTGATCCACTTGAGATTCTTGTCGTATTTGATCTAGATGTGGAGCCTCAACTGAAGATGGGGTGTCCCTGTTTTGTATGTATTAAGATTTTGGATTCTCACTTTAATAGATCAATCTTATTAAAAAGAGTAATACATATTATCATATGCTGATATTCCCATTCGATATGAAATTCATCGGTTATTATGTCTATACAAGATGGTAATTCGTTTGAAAACGTTAATCTTAAAATTCATGTACCTTTTTGAAGTTTTAGTCACAACGTATTGCTCATTGAAGTTAATAAAATCTAATATCATATTCGAACTTAAAACTCCATCTTAAAAGTCAAATTTATTGAGAGAATAATCTAAAAACTCTAATAGGTTGGTTAATACTTTTATCCTTGTTCAATGTGGAATTTATCATTAACAGCAGGGTCTCAAATGAATAATGATCAAGGCACATTTTTTAGTTGATACTGAGCGATAAAGGATTTTATAGAATTCAATGTGATAAAAAGGTTGAACATTAAGGATGAACTGTGCTCGTGCTATCCATGTGCTGGACCTACCCAAAGATCTGCTTCTCGTGCAGTCCTCGAGATCCAATATAGACCATATCACTTGGAATTTTATCTATAACTTTGTACCCAAGCCATCTTTTTGCTGATTTACTAGAATCACCAAAAATAATTGTCATCACGTCCTAGGGATGTTAACTAGCTAAGTCGAGCGGGCTCATGAGCCGAAATTCGAAACTTGAGCTTGACTCATGGTTTGGGCTTTTTTTGGTCCGAGCTAAGCCTAACTTCTGCTCGGCCAAAAATTCTAGGCTAAATCCAAGATTCAGCTCAAGCCCTAGAACTCGAGTCACTCTTTATTTTTTCCTTTTTTTTAAAATTATATAGCTACCTTTTAGAATATTTCTAAAAGACTCTTTAAAGATAAATACTCTCTATTTTAAAGAGTCAATTCTTAAAATTATGTTTCACAAAACTATTTATATTAATATTTTAATTTAGAGAATGGGTTTGGCTCTCCAAATCTGGAGAGTCATCCCCATTCTTTATAATTAAATGCATTCAAAGTGTTTTAATTTTTAATATAAAAAAATGATAAAATAATTTAGAGAAAAGTAGTTAAAAATAAAAGATGGAGAAAAATAATAAATATTTTTTAGGAGTAATAAAATTAAGTATTAAATATAAAGAGTTCGTTGGAGAATTTCGAAATTTTAACACTCTAAATTTATAGTTGTTCTCCAATTGTTCTCCAAGTGGTAGAATATGTTCTTTAAAAATAGAGAGTTTTTTAAAAATACTCTTAGATAACTAAAAGCAGCCTTATCAAGGTAACTTTTATAACAATTTTTTAAGGCGACATGTATTGTCTTGTTAAGTTGCCTTAACTAGCTATCTTGTTAGGCCAACTTTATTATGGCAGTCTGTACTATCTTGTAAAGCTGTCTTAAGTAGCTGCCTTGTTAAGGTAGCTTTTAGCTATCTAAGAGTATCTTCCTTATTTAGGTAACTTTTATAACAATTTTTCTAGGCAACATGCCAACATGTATTTTCTTGTTAAGTTGTCGTGACTAGCTGTCTTGTTAAGGCAGCTTTTTTATGGTAGTATGTACTATTTTGTTAAGTTGCCTTAAATAGCTTTCTTGTTAAGACAGCTTTTATAACAGTCTTTCAAGGCAATGTGTATTGTCTTGGTAGTATGTACTATCTTGTTAAGCTGCCTTAAATAGCTTGTTTGTTAAGGCAGCTTTTATAACAGCCTTTTAAGGCAACGTGTACTATCTAGTTAATCTGCCTTAACTAGCTATCGTACGCATAATCTGCGATTTACCTCCCTCACGATGCTCCAGGACAAGGACGGTGGGGGACCCTTAAAATTGGGGTTCAACCTTTTATATTTTAAGGCATCACGACTTTTATAGCTGTCTTTTTGTGCCACCTTAAAAGGCAGTCATAAAAGCTATTGCCTTGTGTAGCTAGCAGCCAATTTTTTATTTTTTTGAGTTTTTATAATTTTTTCTTAGAATCATGCTATGTATACAACATTTTTCACAACAAGGTTCAAGCACACACACATGCGAGGGGTGGAGTCCACGTTTAAAATAATCATAGCCCCCACATTTGTGAGGAAGTTGTGAAAAAAAGCTATGAGGGAAATGCTGTAAAATCAACAATTTCGTTCTTCTTATTTATTTTTCAGGCTCGACTAGTTACAAGCCAAGAGCCACACGGGCTAGCAAGGGTTTGAACCGATGCCCCGAAATAGGGCTCGGTTCTATCGAGCCGAACTAGCTTGGGGTTTTTTCGGGTTGACATCATTATGCCATGTTCTAAACTGTATCTATAATATTTTGGTCCCAATTTGACCCTATAACTTTTAAAGTGATTCTTAACTACATAGGTCGTTGAAATGCATGCGAAAGCTTATTCTTAAATTACTTCACCTTGCAATGGAATGCACTAAAATTTAATATAATTCACAAGTCTTCCTTAGTGAATTTTGTTGGTACACGTCAACATTTAATTAGTTCCATGTTTCATTGGACATTATTTCCACCAATAAAGTGACCTTTGTGTAACGCTAATTAATTTTAATGATGAAATTTGATGACTAATGATAAAATGTTAAATCACTTAGGTGGCTAAATGCAGGGACGGATCCAGGATTGGATCCAATATCGGGTTATGAAATTTCAAATCGGGCTGCCACGTGGAAAAAAAAATTTACACATAAAAATTTAATTTTTTACCAAAAAAAAAAAAAAACCTTGGCTAAATGAGTAAAGACCAACTTAAAGTTTCGTAAAAACTTCAGTGATCATTCATACAATTTACGCGTGATGTAAATGTGAAGAAGCTAAAGAATCTGGGCAACAATTGAGTGAAATAACAAAAGTTAGTTAAGTGAAGTAAAAATACAAAGAATCAAAAGTCTTGAAGTTTATTTACATTTTTTGTTTTTTAAACTTGGTCATATTTAATTATAAACTCTTAAGAGTTTCTTTATTTATCAAATATGTATGGTTTATTTATTTATCTTATTTTTTAAGATCCAATATTCAGTTGAGCTCTTTATTGCATTTATTGTCCTATTCGAAAGTATAGTAAGTACCTTCGATGTTGGCTGTAGAGGTTGAATAAGGGTGCATTGCTAGTTGAGATGATAGGGGTGGTAGTTAAAAACAAATTTTAGGCAAAATTTATAATGCTAAGCAGGGTCAAATAATATTTTAAAATTGGTAACAAATTTTAAGTTGTTGGAAAATAATGAAATAATTATTGATAATCATTTAGTATTATTACGATACATAGATAAATTTTATCTAATTTAGAAAATCTATTTCATTTCAATTGTAACTCTTATTTTGGACACATTAATTCTTAATAATACACACACAAGTTTATTAGCTTCTCTCTTTTATTCTCTTTTTTCTCTCTCATTTATAACACGTTCTCAGTACAATTATCTTAAAATTAAAATGAATTAATTAGAATGTAACAATTTTTATAAGCATCATCTTCTGTCACCTACATCAAGATTAATTTGGTGACAATGGAGTTACCGCCTCTTCTTCTTCCATGGTTTTCGTTTGAAATTAAGTTTTGAGGTTACGGAAATGGGAAGAGGAAACCTACTGGCCGTCTCCAGTTCTCCACTTCCGAACGGATGACTACTTTGTGGAAATTGACATTTGTATAGAAAATCTGATTCAATTCTATGTTTGCTGGGAACGTGGAGCTGTTGTAAATGTCTGAAGTCCCATTATTGGGCGAATGGTTTCTGACTTTTGTGCTCATTGGTTAGCACTCCATCATGATAAGATTCATTGATTTCACCCCCGAAGCATAATCCAATGGTGCAAAGAACAGAAATGAGGTTATCTAACACCTTGTTGACAGTCGCAGTGTGAAGGTTCGATTTCTAAGACATAAAATTGAACTCCTTGTAAGCATAGTGTACGGGCAGCTCTTGTTCTCTAACCTGTTGGGATACATCCTGCGATTTACCTCCCTCACAAAACTCTAAAGACCGGACAGTAGGGACCCTTAATGTTGAGATTCAACCTTCTTTTTAAGACTAGTTATTTGCCCGTGCCATCCACGTGTTGGATTATTTTGAAGGTAATGTTAGTGTATTAATTGTGTTGAATTCTCATGAATTACATTTTGAACAAATGTTTGTTTGAGTTGATTTTCAACCACCCATCTCCGAATTAATGAATTTGCAATAAGTAAACGGATGTATAAAAGTTCAACTGGTTCAAAATAGCAAGATATAAAACCATATATAAAACCATAGACAGATAGACGAAGCTGAAATTAAAGATTGACATGTTCTATATTGTTATGAAAATAATGCCGAACGAAATGAAACTCAGACCTGGGAATGTTGAGCCCCAACACCAATAGTAGCACCATTTGGACCTTAGAAAACAATAGGCAATGATATCTGACCTGTCGACATATAATTTAATTTTGCAGCTGACTTAATAATGTGGTCGACGGCTTGGAAAACCAATAAGTTATTCCTCCATAGTGTTACATCCCTTTTTTTAGAATATAATGATGATTTTAGTAATGTTCATTTCAGAGTAATGTTCATTTCAGACATTCAATTTTCTAGGTGATCGTAGAATGCTAACATGAAAAATATATCAGATAAATCTAGCTATTCTCTCTCCCTCCATATGAATACTTTAATGAGAAAACAACTTTGACTAAATAAAGAGAAATTACAAAGCAAAATGCAGTTTCGATTGAGTAATAAGTTGATGAACGAAATACAACAAAACCATATACTGGACTCTTCTATTTCTTTCTTGATGAATTTGACAAATAATACTAAATTAGTAGCAGCATTCTTCCCTTTACAATTGGTTTAGCAATTGAGCTTGCAGGTCCATTTCTAACAAGGGTGTGACTAATGAGTTCAAAGAGCAAGGTCAACAAATGGCTTTATGGTCAAAGATCATTATGAACAATACAAGTAATTCTTTCCATGATGCATTGAATTCAACCATCGTAATTTGTAGGTATGACTTATGTGATAAGTGTTGAACCAAAATTAACACTGCCAAGTATGTATCTTCGCGGCTTAAATTGTGATAGTTTTAACTTGAGTCTGTCATTTATTTTTAATAATAGCTATCAAAATAATCATCTAGAATACTTATTAAAGTCTTGCAAGGAAAACAAAAGAAAAATAAAGGCTGCATTTAGAAGCAAGTTTGAAACCCAACATTATATTATTATATGGAAGATGTGTGTGTGGAATGAGGGCAGCAAGTTAAATGATGAGTTTAATTTTCACACGATTTTTCCATAAAGTAAATAATGAAGCATGAGAAGAGTATGAAGAAAGAAGAAAAGTACCACTCGTCTTATCTTTACTTTTTATCTTTCAAAGTACAATAATAGATACACTGCGGAAAAAATGATTAGAAGAGTCAGGTCGTTTGGAAATACTAATTGAAACCTAAAAGGAAAACTCAAATAAAATTTAGTGTAATTACATCTAAATTAATTAGAATAGAGGATGAGATTAAGTAATCTATTGACATCATATTGACCATAAGCAATCTTGACAGTGTATGCACTTGTATAACTTCAATAACATATAGACGGTTACTTTAGAAATGTAAAAGAAATGTATTTGAATTTCATGTGAAGAATTAAGAGTACACAACAAATGAAAAAAAAAAAATGTTATATATAAATCTAAAGCCCCCATTTTGTGAAAAATGAAGTATTTCACTTACTATTTATCCAAATAGTGCTGTAGACGAATTTCGGAAGAACAACTGTTGCATTAAGTAATCTAGCCATAGCAGCAGCATTGTGCACCTGTAATTTATCTGGCCCAGCTTAGCACAAACACACTATTGTAAGAGAATTTTTAATACAAAAGCAAATGAATCAGGAGATATTTAAGAATTTCTAAGTATGTTCTATGAGACAAAAGCAGATATATACAACATGGTTAGTTGGATATGAGCACAATTTCATATCTACATAATTACGACTTGAAGTGTTCGAGGCTTGCCATTGTAAGCAACTGCAGCTTCTTTTGCTTACTCCCTTTTCGTTGTTTCTTCTCCTGGTTGCCCACAGTTTCTTCCTCACAAGCATGGGCGGAGCCAATGCATGTCCGCACTGGACTTTTGGGCAGAATTAATTAATTAATTAATTTTTATTTTATTTTATTTTATTTACTTATTTTTATTTTTTTTTGAGGTTTTGTTTTAAAACCCACTTCTAATTTTTTATTTTTTTTTTTAAACCCACTTCTAAAGTTTCAGATATCAATAGTAGTGAATATCCATAGTCTTTTTCCAATATTCAATATCCAGCTCAGAGAGAGAAACCCTATTAAACCCATTCCCTCAAAATTAAATTGACCCAAACCCATTCATTCATTTGAATCAATCCAATCCTTTGTCTGTGAGTGAGAGAATTCGTCCCTATTGCAGCGTCGCAGTTCCGGTTCGCACAGAGTATTAAAACTCGCAAGGAACAAGTGAAATATTTAAATTATGTCGTTTTTAGTATTATCGTACTATTATTTTATTTTTTTAGCATCATTACATCGATGACCAAAACCTCGACATTCGATGTCGAAAAAAATTTGTCCGCACTGAACTAAAATCCCGACTCCGCCCCTGCTCACAAGACATGATAGGCAAATAAGTTTTCATAAGTTTTTAAGAGATATATTCTTAGCCCTTGTTTGATTTTCATTAAATTACATTACATTACATTCTATTTTTCTCTCTCCTATTTTCAACCACACAATCTTCTATAAAATAATATTACACGTAAATCGAAAATTTTTCTTTCTTTTTCAACCACTCATTTTTCAAAAAACACTATTCTATACATTAAATTTTCCCCGTAATGGGGGCCAAACAGGGTGTTAATATAATGTCTAAATCATCGTGGGCAACAAAGCTTTCAAATTCTCACAATTTTTTCACATTCAAGCTCTTGTCAAAACTAATCTCTATCCACCTAGGCAACTACTAACTTACCAATGATATATGATAACCAAGTAAGATCAGCAGCTATGATGGGATACATCCCATCATCCTATTAGTAGTTATTTCATTATATGATGGGATACATCCCATTAACTAAATTATGAAAGTTCCAGATTACCATAAAAATGGAGTTCAGAAGACAAATCTTCAAAGAGTATTGGCCAGGTGGGCTAATGTAGCTAATATTTCCCATAGCATTAGGAGGAAGTGCTACATGGTGTTGCATTAAACTGTCTTTGAAAACATTCCGTATAGGGAAGTTAACATGGAATGAAACATAGATAAAATAATTTGAAGTGCCAATAAGAGGTGAAGTAAGATTTCATAGAAAGAATTTTCAAATTTAGCATTCTGAGTTAAGTATTGTGAAGAGATCTCCGTATCCCGCACAGGAATACATTATTAAATTAGTGAAGGTGTTCTTAAGCTGAAATTCCCAGAGAATGTCTCTGTCAAAAGCTGGGATAAAAAAACCAGGAGGAACATAGACATCACCTGATTTCTTTGCAATTGACTTCCGAGGCCTCTGAATTAAGTATTGCTTAATTGGAAAGAAAAATACAGTTGTCTCCGGACTGTCCACAGATTTGGGACAATTGCAGTGTCAATAAGCACTGACCACAAATAAAATATATAGAGCAATACATTTGGAGGACCTAGGTTTGAGAAAGAAAGAGAAAATAGTTATAGGCTGTGAGTTTAGTAGACTGCTCCATTTTGAACAGCGAAATTATTACAAGCATCTTGTACATGTGAATTCGAAACACAGAACTTGAGCACAATTCAAACATAAAACCAAAACATTCTACTGCAAAATTTGTTCTGCCAAACAAAGTCACATCTAGCAAAATATCATGATCGGGTCAACCAGGCCAAATCATGAGTGAATAGAAAATCGAAAATTTCAATTTTAGAAACTTCTTTGAGAGTCAGATGACATGAGGAAAAAATCATAAGATCAACCTCTATGTTATGAACCTTATATGATTTCAAACGCTTGTGTCTTAAGGGTGATGCTTCTTTAGATAAAAGAATGTAATGGATTATTGTTGCCCCAGCACACAGAATTCAAATTTCCGTTTCCACAACACAATAGACATGCAATTTAATCTAAATTGTGATCAAACTTCCGTAGCTTGCTTTCCAGAAGAGAATTTAGCTTTAACTGCCGTAGAAACTAAAAGGCAAACTTTTCTCAGATTCTACTGCACAAAATAAAAGAAGGATTTACCAAATTTAACATGCGTGCTGTCTAGCCTACAGAGGGGGAAAGGATTTTCTTAGGAGACAGGGGTACCAAGAAAGTGTTAACTGCCTTAAGAAAAACACTTCCATTGTAGCCATATGTTATCCAGACTGCACATCCTGAAAGATATAAGTGCAATTATAAGCTACATACAATCTCATTAAGTATCTCCCAGTTAATCGACAGAACCATTACATATGGTGGGATCAAATTAATTATGAAAACATAACCACCTCATGCTGAAACCATATAGAAGTACCCAGAAGCTGAGGCCACAGCCTAAGCAAGTTAACCAGTGTTCACAGCCTTGACAAATAAATAGAAATTGAGCAACAATGCAATTATAAACTTGCAACTGACCTTGAGATGTAACCAGGCGAAATGGCAATCAACAAAGCTGCTACAAGCCCTGGTCCAGATTCCTATAACCCTTTCCAAAAACGTAAGTAATGACAGTAGTGTTTGATGCAGAGAACAGTGTAGTGAGTATACAAACTTCACAAATGTAGTGTTTACAGAGTTATCACACATGACTGCAAAGGCCCAAATTGCTGAGAAGTGTTTCAAATGTACGTGCACACATGTCAAATATCCATCGATGTACTCATTTTTGGCTAAACTATTAGTACTTACATAAAAATTGTAGATACATATGTTTCAAACAAGTTTTTCAAAATAACAGCAAAATGATAATTCTAGCATTTATAAACATCACTAAACCTTTCAACTATCATAGAGGATTTGGACATAATCTTTATTGCGGAGAAAATTAATTTATCACTTCTTTCCTATTTCTTAATAAATTCACATCATGTTTTTGACAATATCCAAGAAACAGAACTGTATTCACCATGTGTTCTTAAGAAAATATATAGAATCAAAAACAGAGTACAAGGAAATTTTATTGAGAGTGGGGTTGTAAGTGACCAGAAGAAAAATGTTACGAAAAATGAGGATGTCAAGATGAGTATGTGGTCGAATAAATAAAAAGCGAGATTACAAGCAAACTGGTAAAGTAAAAATTAAGAAAAGGACCGCTTCGTTGGGGCATGTCTTGCATAAACCTAAAGAGGACCTCATTTATAAGACAAAAACAAAACTTGTGGTCTCTTGGAGTTATTAAGAATTTAGTCGCATAACAATCAACTGAATGGAGTGCTGAAAGGATTGATGAAGCTGAGTCTGAATTTATGTTGAGGGGTATTAATTTCCATCTTAAGAGTATTCTAGGACAAGAAACAGACAAATGGTGACTTACAGGCTAGGATGCCTAATCTAGTTCTCTTAATGAAGAAAAGCACAAAGAGTATGCTTACTGAAAAGATTTCCACTGGCATCCTATTTTGCTAGAAGTATAAAAGCTTCGTGCTTCAAACTGAGTAAGCATTATTAATTAAGTACATTTTAGTAGCGATGACACATTACAGACTAAACGACTTTAAAAAAACCTATGGAGTTTTGAGGTCAATCATACCTAGTATCAAGTTGGTTATTATGTTTCCCCCTTGAGGTCCAACTTCAGTAGTTTTAGGCCTGTCAACTTCACCAACTTGGATAACGAATTCCTTATTACATGTTTAGTAAGCGTCTCAAACAACTTCAACCAATCAAATTATAGATTCTGCTTATTAAATGGTAACAAGATTTAACATTCATTAAGTGTACCAAACTTAATAATCAAGACATCCAAATATTAACTTCCATATATTTTTCAAATTAAAAGGAACTCGCCAATTTGTTTTCAGCTGGGAAATGGTGCAAACACATCCAGGCTAGTGAAGAGAAAAACAAAAACTCTTTCTTTCAACCAATGTTGTCGAAACGAAGCTTCAAGAACACCAACATCATGAATTCCACTTAAAAGTAATTTCAGAAGGCACATCACCTTCAGTTGACATAGTTTACAATCAATAAAAGCCTCATGGATCAATATGGATTAACAACATTATAGGAGAAAAATGAATAGACAACTCAATTCAATCGAAGATGTAGCGATAACAATCATGTATACAACAAGCACATCAATGTTGTCGACTATTACACGGAGTTGTAATAACACCCTTCCATACTTTTTCGAAAGCATCCCCCATAAGACCTGCGATGATTTTGTAACTCTTTAGAGGCAGCAAGCAATTGTGATGATTTAATTTTTACTGCACAAGAAAGTTCAATCTTCTTTTTCTCACTTTCGATCCATCATCATTCATTTCAAAAGGAACAAAAATGAATTAGAATAAGTAAAAAAATGCTAACCCATTAATAATTTATCTAAAGTAAACAAGAAACAAAAGAAAGAAATGAAAATTTTCTCGTTTTGAAGTGGAACCGTCTTGAAGATCAAGAACAGCAACAGGTATTGAAGCAGGACTCCTCCGAGCTGAGCTTTCTCTGGAAATTAAAAAGAGCAATAGGGAAATTCCCCAAAACGCCAAAAATAAAGTAAACACAGCGGATGAATCTGGAGAACAAAAATTATTTACATGAATTCCAATTATTGTTAATACCATCTTAATCTTTTATTATTATTATTATTATTATTAAGTGTTAATATCAACTTAATCTGCCCTTGCAGCTTCCCAAGAGATGATTTCGGTTCACCATCTCTGATTTCAGACTCTTGTTTCATTTTTATTTTATTTTAAATTTTTTGGGAGGGGAATATGAAGTCAAGGAGGAACGAACATTAATTTTATGTTTCCAAGAAACAATTACTAAGTTCCAATGCTACAAATAAAATCATATTCAAAAATGAAAGTGATCAATCTCTCAAAAGTTATAAATGCCCTACCAGAGAATCAATATTGATATATTCCACTTTTCTAAATCAAAATCAGTTTCATTGTTTTTCAACTGATTACCTAGTATGAAGAACAAATGACTCAATTAGTGTTCATAAACAAAATTAATACTTACATATACATATAGAGACGACGTGAGTGTACAAGAGAACTTATGGCTAAAAAACGAGTATTAAACTTCTTTATCTTAGCGTGAAGCTATCAACCAACTCCAATTCTTGAAATTCTAAAACAAAGAACTGCAGTGAACATAATTCCACTTTTTTGCATGCAGAAAATTCGAATTGTTCAGGAAAAAATAAAAAGGTAAAAAAGGGAATATATATTTTGTGACAGATTTTCGATTTTATCGGAGCCTCCACCCAACTCCAACGACCATGGAACAATGCTTTACTCTCCACCCTCAATCACACCATCATAATCCAAATCTTCTCCATAAAGGAAATGGACGAATGAAGTTACGGTTCATGAACCAAAAGCTACCTACAATAATGGTCCTTACTGAGACTCTTCTTAAGTTTAAATAAATAATAGAAGAACCAATTAAATGTGAAACCTTTGCCTCAAGATGAATAGTGATCTGGGCATCCTCTCTTTTAATGTAAAGGTAGGAAAAAAGACGAAGACGAAGAAGAAGAAGAAGAAGAAAATCGACTGGATAAAGAATGCCGCAGCCTCATACTTCACTAAAGGCCATTGAACTTCCTTCCAATTCGTTCGAAAATTGCTAGAACTTTATCCCCTTGTTTTAACTAAACTAATGTAAAATTCCCATTTGCAAGCTCAACACTAAAAATAAAATAAAAAAGAAGAAGAAGAAGAAAATGGATTGCATCTGTGCAAAAGCCCCCCTCTTGGGGTTTGGTCTAAAGAGGAGCTCGTCCAAAAGCCGAGGGGGGCGGGGGGAGACAGAGAGCAAAAGCCAATTTTGAACAAGAGATATTTGTGGAACCAGTTAATAAACACTAATTAAAGGGTTACAGTGTAAAAGATAGAGAGCAAAAGCCAATTTTGAACAAGAGATATTTGTGAACAGTAATTAAAGGGTTACAGTGTAAAAACGAGGACTACACAAATGAACAGTGATCTGAGATCGCCTCTTTTAAGAGAAGGTAGATTCATCGGTTTCATCGACGAGCTCCATTATTTAATTATTTAATGAATGGTTACAGCACACTGTACACATGTCTATCTCTTATGTGCACTTTGCATAAGATTTGGTTAATGCGCCCTCAGGGCATATCTTTCAGTGACAAAGGGGAGGACGAATAGGGCTCAGCACGGCAATGTGCAGAGTTTGATTCCTCGCAAGGTGGAATTGACTTTGTTGCAAGCGGGAGTTATCACATGGGTTAACAGCCTTGACCTATCCATGTGCTCTCCACCCTGGTTCCTGGGAGGCACATCCTACGATTTACCTCTTCCACGATAGCCCCAAGACAGGATCGGTGGGGGCCCTTAAGGTTGGGGTTCAACCTTTGGTTAATGCGTTGTAGGCATATTTCTTTGATTTACAAGAATGATATAATAATTAAATATTCTACCCTCATAACGTCAAATATTACCCTTGATCCCCATTTTTTGGAAAAAAAAAATTGAATTCTTTTACGGTGTTTTGATATCATTTCAACTACACATTTTTCAATAAAATAATATTACACGTAAATTCAAAAATTTTCATTATTTTTTAATCACACATTTTTCATCAATACATTATTGAAAAATTCATTTTTCCCACTAAAATGGGGCTCAAACAAGGGCATAATTAACCGCATCCATGATGTTTATTGATTTACAGATTATTATTCAATATTTCTTTGTCTTTAATTTAATTAAATATTTTTAGAGGTTATTTATAAATTTTAAATTGATAATTTATCATGTTATTGCTTTTGAAGTAGTCCAATATTATAATTAATATTTTTGAAAAATATTAATCGTAAATTCATCTATTACAAGTATTTTATTACTCCTGAAGCAACACACATTCCGAATAATAAATATATCTCAATGTGTTCCTAAAGAAACACAAAATAAACAACTCAATATTGGGTTTTAAATCTTAAACGAATTTTTTTCAATATAATTAATATTTAAAAATAATATTAATTTACTGCTCTTGAATAGTATGAATTATAATTTTCAATATTCCAAGAAAATATTGACATATTATTCTTGAAGAATGAATAATAAAAGACAATGTACTTTTGAAATGACACATGTTTCGAAAAATATATCATTTTGAATTTATGTTTATCCCTAAATGAAAACATATAACTTATTTCATATTGACGTTGATTAATTTATCTACTTGATTGAACATTATACAAGTATATAATGTTTAAACATATTTTTTGAAATTTAATAATTGAATTATATCTTATATTGAACTAGAAGTTCAATTTGATTTTGTTGTTTTGCATGATCGATTGGACCATCATTGAATAAGTAATGATGCGAAATAAAAATTTAAATGGATATTTAATGAAGAACCAGAAGATTCTTCAATCCAATAAAATCGTATATGGTGTCTGTTTTATTTCATGTGATTTTTCATTAATCATCACTAGCTCAAATATGAACCGAATTCCCCATATTTTTTTTAAATTAATCAGAGTGACAAATGGAATCACATCATCCTCCACTTTGAACATCTAAATATTACTTGTATTTAATACATTTGATACATATACTAGATGATTGCATGGTATTCGCAACGTGAAATTTGCGAAATTATTGTTTAAATTTTTAATTGTGAGCTTAATTTTGACAGTATACAATCAAGATAGTTTTTTGTTAATGCCAGTGATTCTAAATCTCATCTTTTCAATAAGTCTAAGTTGAGATGTCGATAAATAGTTTAATACTATTTGTTAAATGTCTTCAATTAATTTAATTGAGAACAAAATACTTCTCATTTTTCATTTAGGGAATGTTATTTCGTATCATGCCAATATCATAGTTCTCCATATTATAATTGGTTTATGGTCAGAGCCTAATTTTTTCATATATTTATTTGATAATGCAATATATGTACAATTAATTCGCCAAATTGCACCGAGATGGAAAGTAAAATAATGTTGAGAATAAATGTATAGTTTGAACCCTTGTCCCAAATAAGTGATATTTTATAACACTGAAAAAACATTGTCAATTTGATTGGACAATCCTCTCAGCATTGAAAAGAGAAATTAAGAAGCTGAAAAAAATGCATCATTATATAAATTCTCGTAAAAGATAATTCGAACTAAAAGTTCAAAAGATAATTTATTTAGATAAATTTATTGACCTGAGAGATCAATAATTTCTCACATACCAATTTTAATTGCTTCAAATTGAATTGACATCCTGGAAGACAATTAATCAATATTATATTTGATATGTTTATGGCACACTCGAAGGGTGATGATATATGATTCTAATACAAAAAATCTCCAAGCAAAAATGAAGCAAATAGCAAAGATGGTTCATTTATGAAGCATATACTTTTAGTAAATATATATATTTAACAAAGTTTGGATAATTGATATGTTGAAAAATGAGATACTCAAAGAATTATGTCATTATGAAGAAAAATAGAATTAAAAAAGAACATAAAAAGTTGTTTACAATACTTTTGCACATGATGTATTGCATCATATATAAATAGCGATGAATCAAAATAAATTCGTCGAAATATATTAATCGAAATTTAACACTTTTTTTTTTTTTTAGTATTTGAAGTGTTACCAAAATCTTTCTTTTATAGTTTAAGCGGAATTTAACACTAATGTATAAATTTTGGTATTTGATCAATAAATCAATAATGTGAATTCAACAATTCAAAATAAAATTTTGAATTTTATCTAGCTTAAAATATTCCAAATTAAGCCCTTGTTTGAGCCCCATTTTTGTGAAGAAAATGAATTTTTGAATAGTGTATTGATGGAAAATGTGTGGTCAAAAAATAAGGAAAATTTTTTGATTTGCGTATAATATTATTTTATTGAAGAATGTGTGGTTGAAATTATATCAAATCACTATTGAAAAATGTATTTTTATTGAAAAATGGGGTTTAAACAATGGCTAAATTGTCAATTTAACATGTTAAATAACTTAAATATCAAAACTATTGAAATAACATGTACGGAATTAAAAATAAAATAAAATTATTCTTGAAATTGAAATTGGCAATAATCATTTCTAAAACTTTTACTTGGCGACCCCATAAGCATCAATCGGTCAATCTGTCACGCGTCCACACGACCCGTTCTAATATGAAAATTTAGTAGGAGTGAGTATTTTTGGAAAAACGCCCAGTAAGATAAACGTGTATATTCTTATTAACATGAAATAAATATAAAGTGACATGGCATACCGATATTTCTTAGATTTAAAGCAAACTGATCGCAACATCTAATAGTTCAAGAAATTTCATAAAAATTCCTATATCCTGTAGGATTTACATATTTGATCAAATGGTCCATCCCATAGGATTTAACATAAAAATCGACCCGAAAACCTTAACGTATTTCATTCCAAAATCCATAAAATATGAAGAAAATAAGAATTTATCACTTGCACAATTCTTACCTCATTTGATATCAAGTAAATTTGAAAAATGGCTTGTAAAATAAAATGATACTCCTTTTCAATATAGGAGGGGTGTGGGCACGTGAGAGGCAAATTTTTGTGTGTAAAGGAAACTTTTCTCTCAAATAATATTTAAATGTATCCACTTGTTTTCTTATTTATCACCTCAAACGTACAAATGTTACGTTGAATATTCAATTGATAGATTAATAAATTATTTATTTCAATTTGACATGTCGTCTAATGGCTTCTGACGATTGATTATTCAAAAAGAAAACAGTCCAATTATTAATTGTGTAAGTTTAATGAAGGGTTAATATATATTATTATATTATAAATCATTTTCAATTACAAGAACGTATTAAATTAAGGATTTCTGTCGTCATCATAATCATTATCATCATTATTATTGTTATTATTATTATTATGAGATACTTAAAGAATTATGTCATTAAGAAGAAAAATAGAATTAAAAAAGAACATAAAAAATTGTTCACAACACTTTTGCACATGATGTATTGCATCATATATAAATAGCGATGAATCAAAATAAATTCGTCCAAATGTACTAATCGAAATTTAACACTTTTTTTTTTTTTTTGTATTTGAAGTGTTACCAAAATCTTTCTTTTATAATTTAAGCGGAATTTAACACTAATGTATAAATTTTGGTATTTGATCAATAAATCAATAATGTGAATTCAACAATTCAAAATAAAAATTTGAATTTTATATAGATTAAAATATTACAAATTAAGGAAAAATTTTTGATTTGCGTATAATATTATTTTATTGAAAAATGTGTGGTTGAAATGATGTCAAATCACTATTAAATAATGTATTTTGGTTGAAAAATGGGGCTCAAACAATGGCTAAATTGTCAATTTAACATGTTAAATAACTTAAATATCAAAATTATTGAAATAACATGCACGGAATTAAAAATAAAATAAAATTATTCTTGACATAGAAATTGGCAATAATCATTTCTAAAACTTTTACTTGGCGACCCCATAAATATCACCCTGTCAATCTGCCACGCGTTCACACGACCCGTTCTAATATGAAAATTTAGTAAGAGTGAGTATTTTTGGAAAAACACCCTGTAAGAAAAATGTGTATATTTTTATCAACGTGATATAAATATAAAGTGACATGGCATACCGATATTTTTTAGATTTAAAACAAATTGATCATGACATCCAATAGTTCAAAAAATTTCATAAAAATTCCTATATCCCGTAGGATTTACATATTTGACCAAATAGTTCATCCCATAGGATTTAACATAAAAATCAATCCTAAGGTCTTAACGTATTTCATGCCAAAATCCATAAAATATGAAGAAAATAAGAATTTATCACTTGCACAATTCTTACCTCAATTTGATATCAAATAAATTTGAAAAATGG